CCGCAGGGTCTGATGCGTTCCTCAGCTAAAGACCAAAATGCAGATCTGACTCCGGAGGGGGGAGGTTGACCCTCACACAGACCAGATCCCAGAGCTCAGGGAGACAGTGACGATTCCCCAACCAGAACATTTGTGAGAACAGGTTCCAGTTAAACCCAGTCAGCATGGCAGCTGGGCATGGTGGTGCGCACGCCTGTAACCCCAGCAACTCGGGAGGCTGAGGCAGGAGGTTTACAAGTTCAAAGCCAGGCTCAGCAACCTAGTAAGGCCCGAAACAACTTAGATGTTTCTGTGTTTGCACGTGAGCCGCTGGTGGTCACGAGCGCCCAGCCGCGCCCTGCATACACCACACATTCTACAGCAATCTTACGAGGCAGGCTGTTGGTACTGCATTATTATTATGAAACCGAGGCTCAGAAGGGTTTCATGGTCTGTCCGAGGTCACACAGCAAGGGAGCGGCAGAGCCAGGCTTAGAACCCATTCGCTCAACCGCTATGACACACTGGCTGCTGCTGCTACTCATTTTGGTTTTCTTTTAAATGAGAAAACACATCTGTGCGTCCTAAACGCAGCTAGTTTGCAATTGTCCTACCATGTGGACTCCATGGGGAGGTAGATAACAGGAGGCATCCTTCCTGGGGAGACCGAGTCTGCAGAACTCACGCCTCCTGTGTGCATGAGCTGTTCTCCAGCCACCTCTGCGTTCACGTTCACTCGACAGCACCTGGGACCCAGCCGTGCCTTTGGGGGAGGAGGCTCTGTGACCCGCCCTGAAGCAGGCGAGAGCACGTGCTGGAGTTGCCATAGCAACCCCCATCTGGTCGGGATGCAGGAACCAGCTTCTGTCTCCAGACTATTGTGATTTGGAAGAGCCTCCTCTCCACCCATTCAACGGATACTGAAAAGCGTCATCCAGCGGGGACCAACTCAGACGCTTCCAGGACCCAGCGACCCAGCGGAAGGATGGAGTCAGCTCAGTGGATCCCTGGGGCACCCCATCTGTTCAGGCAGCCATAACTCAGGCCTGGCCTCGGGGTACTCTGCAGGAACATAAACTCCGTGTTATTTGAGGTCTTCACATTTGCCACATAGACACCAAAAAAAGTTGAGAACTGGATTTTTATGTGAAAACTTTCCATTTTTAAACATCTAGAACCAATTCAAAATTTGAGGTGGGGCCTCCGGGCACAGCTCCACAGGTGGTACCCTGCACTGCTTCGGGACACCAGTTTCGTGTCAGTTGTCCTGCATGACGCTGTGCAGCTCACACATACAGTCCTGACTCCGTTCCTGCCTGACTTTTGGCTGACTCTTTGGCCATCTGTGCTTCCTTTCTTTTTTTTTTTTTTTTTTGGTGCTGGGGATTGGACCCCAGGTGCTCTATCACTAACATCCCCAGCCCTTTTTATTTTGAGACACGGTTTCATTACGTCCAGGGATGGCCCTGGACTCCTGTGCCAGCAGTCCTCCTGCCTCAGCCTCCGCCTCCTGGGTAGGGTGCCTCCACGCCCAGCAGAACAGGTGTACCTGACACCGAGTTCCCATCCCAGGTGAGCAATGGGACGTGCCTCCCTCTGGTTGCTGGGTGTTTGTTTTAAAAAGCACCTCGACACCTCTGTGTTCTTCACAAAGGGAAAACAGAAGGAAACCCAGCAAACTCCCTCCCACGACATCACATCGCCAAGGATTCACCGCACGTGCCCCTGTTGGCTCCTTTACGCAGGAGCGAAGTCCCATAGGCAGAGCCTCCACACCCCCGGGCAGGACCCTCGCTGCCTCTGCAGCCTCCCAGGAGGCACATCGGGCCTCCACTGTACCTGTGCTTGGGTGCACATGTTCAGCCACCTGCTCAGCCTTAATGCTTCAGGGTTTACAGAAGAATCACTGCTCTGGCCTGAGCGCCCCGCAGGTGGCTTGATACACCCTCGGGGTGACATCAGACATGGGAACTGCTGGGGACACACCAAGGAGCAACGAAAGACACATAATGTCTGCTCGAGTTCTGCCCGAGTTACCATAAAGGGCCCCTCTCCTCCCTGCCCCCCCCCCCCCCCGCAGGGCAGCTCTCCTGGACCGTCCCCAGCGGGGCAGAAGGAACAGCTCCCTCCGGGCTCCTCGGTGGGAAGGGTTCTCTCCCAGACTCTACCTGCCCTGGGGAGAGCCTGGTCCAGCCCGGCCGCCCCCTCCGCAGCCCTCCCAAGGTATCTCCAGACTCCCCAGAGACCATATGGGGGGCCGGGGGTGCAGGAGCAGGGCAGGTGCACAGGACAGTTGCCACTCAGGGCGGGGCGGGGGCTGGTCACCTCCAAGCCCAATTCCAGGATGAACTTTAACTTATTATGTCAGCAAAGACCCATTTCAAGGCCATGCGGACCTGACCCGGCCTGAGCAGGCCCAGGGTCTGTGTGGCTTGGGGAGCTGGGTGGGGGCCTGCTGGTCCCTGCAGGTGGGACCTCCAGGGAGACCCGCCCCAGCCATTTGCTTGAGCTTCTCCCATGGCGAGGCCCAGCCCAGGGACGGGGTGAGAAGGGAGCCTCTTTGCCAAAACCTGACCCGTCTTCGATCCTCTTCTGGGGTGTCCTCAAGAGCCTGGACGCTCCCAGGAGAGGCCGCTGCCTCGAGGGACCTCCTTGGGCCCCTCAGAGTGGCAGGAAGGTGACACCACCCTGCAGGGGCGTAGGCAGTAGTGGGGGGAGCCATTGGAGGGGCGAGGGGTGAGTTCTGGTCCGTGGCCACAGCGCACCGCCACAACTGTGCCCCCGACATGTCAGATCATCCTGTGCCTGGCCCGGGGACAGGGCCTGACCTGGCACAGCAGGCCCAGCCCCCTCTGGAGCCCTGGGTGGCGCCTGGCTGCCTTCCCAGCTCTGGACGCTCCCAGTGTCCCCCTTCACGTGGCTTTCCCTTTTCTCTCGTGGGTCTCCAGATCCCCTCTCATTCCTGCCGTGGGACTGAAGGGCCAGCCCCCCTCCAAGATGAACTTTGACTTATTATAGCAGCAAGATCCATTTCAAGGTCACATGCACAGGCCCTAGGACTCTAGTCAGCCACTTTACTGGGTGGGAATGATCTTCTAGAAGAAGCAGGTCAGAACGGAGCTCTGAGCCACTTTTCAAAAGACCACTCTGGGGTGGGGTCACCTCCTGCCCTTGAACCTGGGGACACAGGACCACTGTCCCAGGGGAGAGGGAAGTACAGTGGGGATAGGGCCACACAGACTAGGTGGGGCACACAGCCTCCACCTGGTCCTCTTGGCACACTCTGGGGGACACTGGGGCTATGTAAGAAGTCCCTAGCCCTCAGGCCCAAGCCAGACGGGCCACAGATGGGCTCTGACCCACAGCCCCTCCCTTCAGCCAGTGGGTAGCAGCTGGCTGCAGCCCCCAGCCCCAGAGGGGGCTTGGACGTGTGGGTGGGTGGTCTGCCCACCTCTCTCCCTGTCCCCAAACCAAGGGCAAAATCAAACGCTTGCTGCTACACAGGGTGGTGTTTGGGAGGTGGTGTTCTACCCAGCAGGGGACAGCCAGGTCCCAGCTCAGCAGCTGCCAAGTGACCGAGATCCCGCACACGGACCCAGGCTCCACGGGGCCAGAGACCCCACACCCAGGAGCAGGTGGGCAGCTCCAGGCACCTGCGAGAGGCACTGGGGACAAGACCAGGGGGCGCCTCTCTGGCTTTGAGGAGCCCCCGACCTCTTCAGCAAGACCCATGCTGTAGCTGTCCTTGACACAGGATCCAGCGGCTGCAGACTGGCCACCCGGCGCTCACCTCTGCAAACCGTCCAGGGGCCAGTGTCCACCCCGCCACCACCCCAGCCCTCCACTCCTCACTCCCAGGTGCCCAGCCCAGGTGCCCCTACACAGGGAGGCTCCTGACCTCCGGCCCCAAGCAGGGTCCTGCCACCTTCCCACAGGACCAGCCTTTCCACGGCGGGGACTTCTCCACGGCGGGGACAGCTGCCTGCTGGGCTTGGCCTCCCTCAGGGCAGGCACTGTGTGCACTTGCTGCTGGCCGCCCACCGGCCAGGGCTGACACAGAGTGGGTGTTCCAGAACCTCTGTGCGCCACCTCTGGTCCTGCTCACAGGAGGAGGCTGCTGGAGGCAGAGCAGCCCCCTCCTGCTCGGCCTGCCCGGACCCCAGCCCCCTCTGCAACCCCCAAAGAGGTGACAGAAGCAGGTGCCTGAGCCTGGGCCCTTGTCCCCTTGTGGGACGGAGGCCTCCCATGGGCTTCCGAATCCCCCAGGGACCCTCACCCACCGCCAGGGACACACCCAGTCCGTGTCCATGCCCTGGCTATTTGGCAGCACCCATTTCTATGCTTGTTGAGAATTAAATAAGCTACTAAACTCGAATGTGTCCAGCCCCAGTAGATCCCTGGATGCCTATTAAATCCCATATGACAGCCGTCAGCCTCGTTTCCCCACATCCTTCACTGTACATTGTAGCTGAACACAGGTGGCAGCTGTCACCCATCCACACACGCACACGGGCAGCAGTTTGGCTGATATCACCCTGCGGTGTTTCCTCTCCCCCTCCTCCTCCCTCCCAGCCCTTAGTCCCCCTCCTTCACTCCACCAATCTCCATTCCATTTCACGAACCCCCCACCCCCAACTTCCTATTCCTTTTCCTCTCGAGCTTCCACAGACAAGAGGAAACATGACTGACTCTTGACCCTCTGAGTTTGGCTTATTTCACATGATGGTCTCGAGTTCCATCCATTTTCCTGCAAATGACTTAATTTCATTTTTCTTTATGGCTGGTGAGACTCCATTGTGTGTTTATACCACGTTTTCTGTATCCATTCGCCCACTGATGGCCACCCACCCACTGATGGCCACCGGGGCTGGCTGCACAGCTTGGCTGCTGTGAGTGTGCTGCGGTAAACACGGCTGTGCACGTGTCGCTATCCTACGCTGACTCTACTTCTTTGGGATAAAGGCTGAGGTCGCCCTTGTTTTCACGGTAAAGAGACGGTAAGACAAATCGGAAAATGGAACTCTTTTTGAAAAACACAACGCATTTATTTCTGTAAACTGAGTGCGGGGGGCGTCTTCACAACCCCCGTCCAGTACAGTTTTCTTCCCCAAAACGAAAAGAGCAAGGAAAGAAGGAAAAGGAGCTACGGTATAAAATGTGCCCATGAAGAACCAAGCCAGAGCCATCCTGAAGCTGTGGGGTGGACCTAGGACGCCAACAGCCTTCCTGGAGGCGGTGGGCGGGCCCTGGGCGGCACCCCAGCCAGGCTGCAGAGCAGGCTCTCCCCGGGTCCCCGGGTCCCCGTGCTGCACTCCGGGCCTCTCTCCCTGAGTCCTGGTCACTCTGGGAGCCCCGGATAGCTCCCTCCCTGGACTCAGACCTTTCCCATGCCGTGAAGGCATTTGAGTCAAAAGAGTGGGACCAGGTAGGGTCAGACCACATGGCAAAGTCACCGCCAGGCAAGTTTTAAGGCAAATTTTATCACTTCTAGTTCGGTCCGAGCCAGACCTAAACTCCTCTCCGTGAGACTCTGGATGGTGGTGGGATGAGGGCCCAGCGCATGTCCCAGGAGCCTGAGCCCGCGGATGGCGAAGGAGTATGCTCGTGAAGGCTGCGGTCGGCCCAGGCACGGCGGCCAGCTGGGTGGCAAGCAGGAGCCACCAAGGCAAACCAAGACGGTGCCCGCCAGGGAGCGGGGGAGGGACACCGGGGAGGGGGCCACCGCGGGCACTCCTCAGGTCTGATGACCTGCATGACCTTTCTCAAAATGGTCTTTCTTTAGAAGGAGAAAGAGGGGAAACAAGAAAAAGAAAATCGAAGACGGAATGATCCATGAGCTCCATGAGGACACGGGGCGGGGGGGCGGGCGGGGGCTCGGCGGGCTGGGGCGGCGGGCGGGGGCTCGCATCCTTCTCCTCTCCTGGCGGGCGGTGGGGGGGGTGAGGCCGCCGTCCCCTCCCCGGCAGCAGGCGGGTGGCTTTGGCAGGGGCGGGGCGGGCAGGGCTACTCGGCCTGGGCGTCGTAGTTGGCGCCCCCCGCCTTCTTCAGCTCGCTCTTGATGAAATCTTCCTCCAGCTCCTTCCGATCGCTGATCACAAACTCTTTTGCAAAATTCTGCAGAGACAGGTAAAAACACAGAGCTCGGGTCAGGTGCCGAGCTGGAAGTTTGCCCCAGGGTGGCTCACAGGGGACCAGAGAGGGACGCCGAGGCAGAATCCTGCACCGGAGGTCAGAGAAGGGTAAGTAGGGGTGCTGCGTCCCCCTGGACCACGGAGCTGGGCCACACGGGTGTGACTTCAGGCTCTGTCACTCCTGGCTGTGTCCCCCTGGGCAAGTCCCTTCAACTCTGCGAGTGGCCTTCCTCATCTGCACAGACCCAGCTGCTCAGGGGGTGACGGGTGAGGCGGGCAAGGCGGGCGGTGCTGCCAACGGCCAGCACCAGGCTCCCCAAGAGAAGGAAGGGACGAAGAAGAGAAAAGGGGACGCGCTGGTCTGTGGCTGCTGCCCCTCTCCTTGAGTCAGTGCCCTCTAGGTGACATCAGCATCATGCTGCCTCGTACCAGGCTGGGAAGAGGCCGGCACGGCTGGCTCTCAAAAGCTGGCTTTGGCCACTGTGAGTCACAGTGACACAGGGGCTGGTGATCCCAGTCTGGGTGTCCAACCTGCAGCCACATGCAGTTCCTTGAGGGCAGCAGCTTTGTTTGCATTCATTCAACAAACATAAGGCCAAGCCACAGGGCCTGGGGACAAAGGGTACAGTCACCCTGGCCCCTGGCCTGGCACATGTGAAGCACTCAGAGATGCTCCTGATGTGAACAGGTGAAGCCAGGATTCTGTCCTACCAGGTAACCCCGAGCCCTGCAGACACACAGCTTATTCTATATGTGGATCCTAAGACTTCAGTGGCCATAGGAAACCTCAGGACACTGATAGAGGACTACAGAGAAAGCCACCAAAAATACAAATAAGTCCACAGGTCAGAAAATCACCCAGATAAAACTGTTTGTAAGGAATGAAGGTAGTTAGGTGTGGTGGTACCTGGGATCCCAGAGACTCAGGAGGCTGAGGCAGGAGGACTACAAGTTCAAGAACAGCGTCAGCCACTTAGCAAGGCTCTAACAGACTTAGTGAGACCCTGTCTCAAAATAAAAAAAGAAACAACGTAAACAGTGGCCAGCAGCATTACTGGGCACTGTGTGTGATGTGCTGTGTGTGGTGCGCTGTGCGGAGGCCGAGGTTGACCCCCACCACCAATGCGATTCTCAAACCCCGACGTGACCCAGCAGAGGGGCCCAGGAGTCCTGTCCTGAAGAAGCGAAAGCGCACGGCCGCAGGAACACTTGTACCCAGACGTGCACAGCCCGGGAGTGGACAACCGGGTGCCCGCAGGAGACGCAAAACATGCCTGTCCACACGGAGGAGCGTCACTCAGCCACAGAACGGAACAAAGCCCAGCCCATCGCAAGGCAGCTGAGCCCAGAACACGCACTGTCACCCAGTGACACACCAGTGGGTGAGGCCACCTACTGTCCGGTTCCCTTCACGTGCCCTGTCCAAAACAGGTGAATCCACGGAGACAGAAAGCAGTCGGTGGTGACCAGGGGCTGGAGGTGGGGACAGGAAATGACAGAAATGTTCTAAAACTGGATGGAGCCGCACAAGTCTGCGATTCACTGAGTCACTGAATTACACAAAAGCACACGCTGATTTGGTGATACATAAATTAAAGCTGTTTTAAAGAGATGATCGATATGATCGATGCCATTTTAAAAAATATCCTTTGCAGGGATCAATATTGTTTCCATTTAAGGGCCGAAAACCAAGGCTGAAGGCTGCACCCCTTGCTGGGGTCACAGAGCCGGAGGGTCTGCTGGGTGCAGAGCGGCCAGCTCCTCTGGGTGGTGGAGGCAGCTGGGAACAGGACGGGGCTGCACGTTTCAAAACGGTTAACTTTATGACAAGTGAACCTCATGTCAATTAAAAAACAAAACACTGCCATCCCCAGAAGACCAGCCAGGAGAACCCCCAAGTTTTACAGCTTACAGACCAACCACGTGCCCAGCAGAGCCTCCGGGAGCACCCACAGGGAGGGAGGGGCGGTCAGTGTTTGCCGACAGGTGCCAGCCACAACCCCACACCTCCGCCACCTGACCTCCCTGTTAGCCTTTTACGGTTTTAAGATAAGGGTCAGGGGCTGAGCCAAGACTCACCCTACCCACACAGAACTTCCTGTATACCTTTCCTTTCCCTCCCACCAAAAGCTGCTACGTGTGCATCTGTGACCAGCGGGAGAGAAGGCAAGGGGGCCTGCGGGCCAGGAAGGACACTGAGAGCCTCTTCCCCACCAGCCCGGCTCAGGGAGGGGCAGCCCACCCCCTCCAGCCACGGCCACAGGAGGTTCAAAGTTCCCCTCCTGGAGATAGCCACGTATCTCAAGACTAGGAGCGCTGGGTGTTTGCGGCAGTTAACTATTAAGAGACTTAGATTAGGGAGGAATAAGGTCTAAGAAATCTATAAAGTGAAACGGGCTTGGAGCTGTGCCCGGCTCCCCCTGAAACCCCAGCGCAGGGAAACCAGGTCGCGACCACAGTGAGCAGCAAACAGCAGCGGGGTCTAGAAGAACTGAATAACAATAAGTGTAAAGGAACAAAATTCCCTTTTAAAAAACCACCAAGTCCCAAGACCACAACACAGAAAGCAACCCAAGCCCCGTAGCCAGAAAAACAGGTTTAAATATAAAAGATTAAAAAAAAAAAAAAAACAGGTTCCAAGTTACACAAGCAAAAAGGGCGTAGGAAGCAACCCTGTGCTCTGAAAGCCCCAGGGCCACGCTGTCCTCTCCACAGAGAACAGGGGGCGATTCAGAGGCCCAGCAAATCCTCCAGGGCCCGGACCAAGGAGGGCCCCAGCGTCCCCTGCTCTCGGATCTCCATTGTCCTCAGGGAAACAGCAGAGTGAGGCCATGGGAGAGAGAGTCCAGCCAGGGACGGTGACGGTGACGGTCTGTGATCCCAGCAGCTTGGGAGGCTGAGGCAGGAGGATTGCAGGTTCAGGACCAGCCTCGTAATTTGGCAAGATGCTGTCTCAAAATAAAAAGGATTGGGGCTGGGGCTCGGAGGCTAAGTACCCCAGTTTCAGTCCCCAGTACAAAAAAAATATAAATAAATAGATAGAAAGAAAGACAGGGGGTGGCCTTGCTCTGCTGAGCGTTTTCTAAAGACCATGCCGGGCATTTGGACGCCTCTGAGGCAAGGGCTATGTCCATGGCCAAGGTCCCAGGGAAGCGGAATTCTCTTTGGGGGAGTTCGGCAGCCCTGCCTCAGGGGAGACCTGCCAACCCTGTTCACACCGGAGCCGGTCAGCACAGCAGCCCAGCTGGGCTGACCCATCTGGGCCTGCGCCCCTGTCACGGGGCAGGACCCAGGGCCCACTGCAGCCCACGCTGCTCTGACGCTGGGTCCAGGGAAGGTGCCTGCAGCTGACCAGAGAGGGATAGGCTTCCTCCACATCCCCCGTCTCGACAGCAGCACAGACAGCAGGGCAGGAAGGGGACCGGGGCGCCGCGTGGCGCTCCCATGCGGCTGGTGAACGGCCCTGCCCGCCTCCCCTCCTTCCACCTGAGTCCACTCCCCTCCCGTACCCTCCAGCTGCCCCCGTCTCTGTGAACTGCCCACCCCTTCCCACCCTTTGTGCCCCGCAGTGACCTCAGCACCTTTCAACCAAGGTGTCTCCATCTTGATCCACCACCCTCAGGATTGGCTCCCACTGTCACCTAGTGCACAGTCCAGCCACACACAGGGACAAGCAGGCCAGAGGCGCCCGGAAGGAAGAGCATTTGGCTCCCAACACTGCCTAGGAGCCAGGGCCAGATGTGGCGCCTGCTCCTCTTCCTCCCACAGGGCGCAGGCCTCTCCTGCCCAGGAGGCTCACGGCCCCGAGGTGGACAAGGCAGACTCAGTGCTTCCCGCTCATGGGTGGCTCTGGACAGTGTCTTCAATGTGTCTGATGGAGGCACCGACCTCAGAACCCCGCCACCTCCGCTCCCACCAGCCGCTCAGCCGCGCCTGGACGAGGACTCAGAGAGGGGTGGCCAACGCCCAGGGAGTGGGCTGATCAGTGCGTTTCCAAAATGAAGCAGAAGCTGAGAGGCGACAGCGCAGGGCGGACAAGCCTCACGGAGACCAGAGGGGCCTGATAGAGACCAGAGGGGCCTCACGGAGACCAGAGGGGCCTGACGGAGACCAGAGGGGCCTCAAGGAGACCAGAGGAGCCTGACAGAGACCAGAGGGGCCTCATGGAGACCAGAGGGGCCTCATGGAGACCAGAGGGGCCTGACAGAGACCAGAGGGGCCTGACAGAGACCAGAGGGGCCCCCCGGAGACCAGAGGGGCCCCCCGGAGACCAGAGGGGCCTCACGGAGACCAGAGGGGCCTCACAGAGACAGAGGTGCCTGTAGGGAGCCTCGGGCCTGTGCCTTGGCCGGAAACCACAGAGGACGTGTCTGGCAACACGGCCACCTCTGGCCACGCTCACACCTGCTCACACATGGCCACTGTCCCCGGCACCCTCAACCTGCCACCAAACAGCTGTGGGGCCAGAGGCAGGTGGGGAGAACCAGAACAAGTCCTTATTCAGCAGGACGTTGGTGTCTAGAGCATTGAAGACACACAGGGGACTTAAATGTCCTGGTGACCACAATGAAAAATGTGGAAAAGAAACAGGGGGCACTGAGTTTAATGGCATTGTATCTGACCCGGTGCAGCCAAAATGTCCTCATTTCAACACGTGACCAATGTGTGACATCACCGATCGTGACAGCCAGGTGTAGGCTGGACACGAGGAGCGGGAGGCACAGCAGCACGGGGAAGGGCCTCTCACCCCTGAGCGTGGAGCTGGCGGGACTGGGCAGGCAGGGGCTGGCGGGCCTGAGGGCCCAGGGGGCTGGGAGTGGCGGCGGCTTCCTCTGGGTGGCTGTTCACAAGAGAAATCAGAAATATGCAAATCCACCGAGCCTCGCACCTGCGATGTGTGCAATTTCCTCTCGGTAAATGCATGTTGGTCAACGAGAAGAGAGAGGGAGCCCAAAGACACAGCAACTGCACTGCAGGGGCCCT